GGATTTGGAATACTCTGCCTCTGTGCTGCAGATACTCTGTGCCTCTGCACAGACTCCTGAATCTACAGGTGACTTGATCACTGGAGTTTGTGAACCAGCAGAAGTTGCGTATTTTTTCTTTTAAAACCAGCATGCTCTATGGCTGCACTGTCTTCTGCAGAGATGGTTAGAGTCACTACAGCAACAGTGGTAAATAGAAACTGTGAGAGGACAATAGGAAATTTGCCTGTGGAGTCTTCAAAGTTTCTTTGTCATTTGCATCCCATACGAGTCATATTTTTTGAAATTTCATGTGAAAAAAGAAGTAATGTCCTAGTAGTTAGGGTGCTTCACTTGGCTACAGAATACTGAGGTTCACATCCCTTTCTGCCCAGTTCCTTGCAGGAGCAGATATCTGTTTCTTGCACATCCTACACTAGTGACCTTCCAGTTTGTCTAAGAATCAGCCTTTGTCTAGCTTTGCTCTAATGATCATATATTTAATTATAAAAATAAACAAATCTGGCAGGAATAATTGAGACTTAAATGAACCATAATTTTTTAACAACAAAAAAATTATCAAATAACTTGGTCAGGTATAAGTAAAGAGAATGAGTGAAGTAGTTTTACAGGACAGGGGGAATTAGCACAGTATCTCATACTTTGTGAAGGAGAACTTAATTTGCGTAAAACCTTCTCAAAGCATATGGAATTAGCAGGTCCATTTTCACACATCGCCTATAAAAGATACCATATTCTTCCCTCATTTCAGTTTATAAATAGTTTTGGACAGTTTTGTCGCTGTAAGTATCTTGGTATGCAGGCAAAGCAACGTATGTCGTGCAATGTGTGCCTTTGTAAATATAGCTTATTCCAGCATCCCAGGCAAGATAAATTGTAGGGGCAAAATCATGCTTTTGCGTGGACACGTGAGACTCGTGCTAGGTGCAGTCACAGCTTGCTTGGTTGCAAGCACACTACTGCAAAATCTGTGCTGCAGATATGGCTTCAGACATGCCTTTTGTACTCTTGCCCCATCATTTGTCTTACATAAAGTAAAACATTTTAAAAGGGAAGTCGATCTTTCATGAAACCAGGAAAAAGCAACTTTAAAGAAAAGGGTTATTGGGCATATCTGTACGGGTTTGTTGTTTCTGAGACTGACACTGCACCATCACATGATGGAGGATGTTTGATTGTGGAGACATGGGAGGGAGAGATGCATTGCAAGAGGGCTCGGGAACACCCTCACAGCCGGTGTCTTTCTCCCTCAGGAGTACGAGTTCACGGTGCTGCCCAACGCCTACATGATCCACATGCCGCACGCCCCCAGCTTCGACATCACCAAGTTTCGCTCCAACAAGCAATACCGCATCTGTCTCAAGACCCTGAAGGAGGAGTTCCAGCAGGATATGTCGCGCCATTATGGCTTTGCAGCCCTCAAATATCTCACGGCAGAGAACAACAGCTAGCACAACAGAGCCCGTGTGCAGGAAACAGGGACACTGGAGGGAGGAGCCACTCAACGTTTGGGGCCTAGTCTTCAAACTTCGAACTGAGAAATACTTTCTGTTTTTATATCATACTCTGCAGTTCTAACAGTAGAAATTTGAAGTGACATGTCTTCGGACTATGCTCATTCGTCCCTTCCCCGACTACCCCAGGCCTTTCAGCTTTAGCATTCGTGAGGTGTCAGCGAGAGGGGCCGGCCACGCGCCCGCCATGCTGCCGGAGGTGGGGACTGGGCAGGGGCTGGGGACGCACTCTGCTCTCTTAAGTGCAGAGCAAAGACAGACCTTCAGAATATAGGATTTCATGATGCTATTTAATAATTTGACATGCTTTTTATCTGTAAAGGAAGATCTTCGGGTCGCTGTCCTGTGAATTTCAAATCTGCACTACTCTAAAAGGGAACTTTCACCTGTGAACTTTCACAGGGGCCCTGTTAACATGGATGACCTTGTTAATGCAGGATGAGCCAAAGGTCTGAATTAGCCTTGAAAACGAAGGGGACGCTTATACAATACTGCACTCCAGAGAAGGTGTGTTACTGGTTTAGGTGTATACATGATATGAGTTGGTCTTTTATTCTCAAATTAGTTGTTTTATCAGGAAAATCCCCTATATCCCACCCTGCCTTTTCCCCAGTCCTAAATGTTGCTCCTTTCCTTGCCAAGGAAGCATCTCCCTTGTGTTTCTTTCCCATCTTCAGTTCTGGTGGTCCAGTAAAGAAGATCAGTAGCTCTGCCAGAAAGTAAACAAAACTTGTCAGTGTAAGATCTGTTTTCACCAGAGTAACTTGTTTGTGTCTGTCTCGTAAAATAAAGGGCCTGGCTGTAACTTTATCTTTTATAGGCAAGAATTGGATTTTGCCTATAAGGCACATTATGGGGGGAGAATGTTGATTTGTAGGCTTATTTCAGTGCGTGCTCGTCCGTGAAGGCATTGGGTCTTGGGCTTTAAGTGGACTTCTTTGCTGAACAGGGAATATAAACATGGCAAATAGTAGCCTTGGTGCTCTCCTGCTGCCTGCTGCAAGGTCTCAGAACTACTTCGTTAAAGGAGTTTATAATTAAAAGGAGCAGAACTGTTAGGAATAAACTCCCCATTCGAGGGGGAGAAAAGAATGTGTTGGAAATCTGAGTGTGAGTGTTTGCTTGAATGTGGGCTGGTCAAGTTCACAACTTCAGTACACACAGGAGTATGCTGGAGGGCGGACAGGAAACCTAACAAGCAAAATGCAGAAAACAAGACACTGGACTTTATACCATTTTCTTTATTCTTCAGTATTAATGTTGTGTTTACATGGGATGAAGAGATGAGGTTTAATGCACTACCCCTTGCAGGGCTATTTGTAATTTCTGTTGCTATGTTAATAGAGAAAGCAGAAACAACTCAGTGAGAAATGCGTCTGTCTCCCTCCCCAGAACCCCATAAAACCACACTTCCTGATACCACTGCCTGAGTTGGGAAATGGATCCACATTGAGTTCTGCTCACTTTTTTTCCATTTTGTTTTTCAGCCACTGGACCTTCTACTTCCCTCCCCACCTCATCCCTCTAGAGCTTGATTTTATTTCTAACCTGACATTTTGTGAGAGCTTTCTGTTACGGTGGAAACCATGCGGTTAAACCAGACATTTAAACTACAAATATCAGTTCATCATACTGTGTATATGTAAGAAAAGCCAAAAAAGGCAACATCTTTGACAAGAAATAAAAAAGGGCGGGAGGCTATGTGTAATTTTCACTTTTTCCCTTGGGAATGATGGCTGCATAAGAATACATCACTGCATAATTTTCCAAAGTGCTTTTCTTCTGTTCTTAATGGCTTTATGTAAAGATTTACATAAAAAGCTGGGAAGAGCTGGGAAGAAGTGAAATGAGTGCTCAGTCCTGGCTAAGATATATTCTTTTAAAAAACCCAAAATCTTAACTCCCCAAGTCCCATATTACTCACCATTAAGGGCCCAGGTCACTGTGCATATCGAGAATGAGAAGAACCCTGCAGCACAGAGTCCTGTTGATTAGCTAGCGTGCAGAAAGAGTGATCCTAAGAGAGGCTAAGACTGGTTGTACATAAAATCTTTAGTCAGAACTTCAGTGTGGCCACCATTATGTTTCATATATATTAAAAATTTTCATTTCCTGATGTACGTTTCTCCTTGACTTAACAGTGTTGCCCGAGGATGGACTGGGTTGCCCTGCAGCAGCATAACCTGTAGCATAGACATGTACGTTGTTTGGATGTGCCATTATCAACACAAACATTATTGTCTCCTGGGTGGTCATGAGATGTGGATGGGGGAGCAGGGAGGTAATCATTTGCTACTTGCCTGTCTGTACAGTGAGTCATGGGACCTCCTGGGTAGGCTGAGTAGGCTTAGGTGTGCTGGCTGGTGTAACCAGCTCAAAGATTGGTAGTAGGTTCAAAGAGCCCCTTTTTTTCCTTATAGACACTGTACTGACTTGTATCTGCCATGTAATATTTGTCTGTGTGCTTCATAATTTGGGAGGTGTGGGGCTTGGGTTTTTTGAACACATTTCAGCCAATTTTCATGATAGCAAATTAGGATTACAATTCTGTATGTAACTGCCAGGGCTCCTCCAATACCGTGAAAAAAGCACCACCGACAACAACAAAAATCCCCAACTCAGTTATAACAGTGACTGTCTTCCAGTCCTCTGCTGTAGTAGGTATTTGCTAGCAACTTTGTTACTTAATTCTCATTTTTCTCCTGAAATCTTCAAGAAATATTAGATAAACCTGGTGACTTAATGCCTTTGATTTATTGATTTGTTCCACCAACTTCTCTCTTGAGTCTTCAGTCTATGACCTCTCCTTATCTTTGATATTTGGAAAGTGTGAGTGTCTCATTTAGATACCACTCCAGCACCCTCTGTGGTGAAGACTGATGCAAATAAATCATTTAGATTCTTGGCAATGTCCTTATTGTCTTTAATTGTTTCTTCTACTTATCGTTTGGGGTGGCCTACCAGTTATCTCTGGTTTTCTACTTTTGGTGTACTGAGCGAATGTGTATTTTCAGTTTTAACTTCCTACTAGTTGCTCTTCAAGTTCCCTCTTGGCTTGCTCAAACTCCATCTTAACTATTACAAACCTTCCTTTCAGTTTTACATAGTTTTGATTTCCATTCTCTGAAGGTTTCCTATTTGGCCTGAATAACTTCTAAAATTTCCAGTTCAGTCGTACCAGCATTTCCTTGTCCTTGTCTTCCATTTATCTAAGGGGATACCATACTCCGTGGCTATTTATAAGCCCTTTCCATTTTTAATCTGAGGATTTAATTTTTTCTTGTTATTTAAGGCCACTGATTCTTTCTTTAAAAGGAAATAGGGGGGTTGTTTTTGAATTTTTGTATCAAATATCACCTTACTGGGTTTTGAGGGTTTGTATTTTCCTCTTTAACCTTCCTAAATGCTAACCTTTTCCTAGTCAAAGGATCAGAAATAAAATCTTACAAAATTCTTTTGTTCTTCTAATTTGGGCTCTTGTCTTGACACATTTTGTTCTGTCTGTCCGTTTTCCCCCTCCACTCCAAAACATTGACACGTATAAGTCACCGCAAACTTTTCAATCCGAGATCCTAAACTGTGTATTTCCCAGCACCTTCTGACATCCCACCACTTTTCAGACATAATTATTATTCCAAATAATAATGTGCAGGCTGGCACCGAATACTCCTATTTTTGTTTTCATGCTTCTCCCTTTGACATAACAGGCTTTGCAAATTTAAGTTTCGGGAAAAGCACTTGCCTTTATTTAATGCCTTATTCTAACCCTCTAATACATTTCAATGGTTCCTCTCTGTTGTCACAGTATACACTTTCAAATGTTTATCCGTAGTTTCCATGCTATCATTTTCTGGCTAAGGGTCATCTACCATTTGCCTACCTGGCAGACCTAGTAAATGTCTTTGCTTATCCTGAATAGTGCTTAGTGTCTATCAGATTTTTTTCCAAGTACTACTTTTAGTAATTCCTTCCAGCCTTGCTATTTTCCTGTGCGAGCAATCTGGTTCCACTTCATAATTTGCAATTTTTTTGTATTTGTAGTCATCATCTTGGACTCTGTGACATAAAGGAATTAGCAGCTGTACCTGCAGTTCCATCGGTTTTGTTAGGCTGAATATCACATATGCTCACACTATTCCTAAAGTACTGATTTTTTACCTGGTAGGCTTCATGTGGTTTGTATGTAAATCATAATCTGCATTTTCTTTTTACTGGAACAAGCAGAGGCACTTTGTAGTTGTATTTGCAGTAGCTGTTGCAGCAGAGTAGACCCTGTGTTAGAGGGAAAAGCACAAAAACCTTGTCAGAATCGCAGCTCCTGTTTCTCTCTGTAGGGGAGAATAAGGCCCTAGCACAGGTGAACAGGTTTATAAATGCCCTGCACATAACACATTGCACGTTATTTTCTGGTAGGTATAATCGTACATTGTCCAATTAAATATGAAAAATACATTTTTAATGTTCTCATTTTTACATGCAATTCTGTCCAGAAGATAATGCATTTCATTCTATGTCTTGCCAGTTTCCCCCAGCCTGCCTAATAGCCCCATCTGTTTTTGGCTGAGAAAGATTAATGACTAGCAGCACTGGAAGTCCTGGCAAATCAGCAGAGATATTACTCTTAGACATTGCACAGGACATTCATTCCTACTCTGCCAGATACTGTATGGGTGTTCCTCAGGTTTCAGTGCAGCAACAGGAGAACACAGCAATCTCAGCAAGTGGGGTGAGCATCATTATTTATGAACTTCAACAAGGTCTAATTCAATAGATGGTGGGAGTGCTAAAAAAATAATGTATCATTGTTAGCTCAAAAAATATTTCAGTTTTAGGAAAAGAAAGCAGCTAAGTTTCTGCAACTAAAGTAAGTGACACTGGAACAAATAAGTCACTAGTAGACAATGACAGCAAATAACCTTGTATTTTCACTGCAGTATTGAAAAATGCAGAAGCATGGATAGCTAAATGAAGTAATTTTTACAGCAGTGATTCATAATGTATATTTAGAAGGTGTGTTTACATCCAAACACTTAGGTGAATTGGGGATTGTTTGAAGCTTGTTTCTTTGGTTCACAATATAAAATTAAGTTTGGAAAAGCTGCTGGCTGTGAACAGCAAATTATGGCTCAGGAAATGCTTACAAACCTGGATTTAGAAATACCTTGCTTTTATATGAATTTGTTTTCGTCAGTAGTTGCACTTTCCCAAAACAAGACGCAAAGTCCTTGAGAATTTCAAAAGGAGCTATGTACGTGTCAGTTGGCTGGAACATTTTCCTCTTAGGATTACTTGGGATTTGGGGTTTGTTTGCTCTGCAGAATGGA